GGGGGGCGTGTGTGTGGCATGGCATTAAGCTCTGTATAATGCATGACCGCTGGTGTGCTGTGCGTTGTGACAATGCATTCCACAGGTTACCTTTTCCTCCACAGGAGGAGGAGCCTAGCTGTACTATAGGCCGAGTGGAGTCCATACGCACCGGTGAGGTGAGGGAGCGATGGCTATGGTCCTGTGTTGTGTTGTATCTCCCCCATAGGAACACCTATAAATTGGGCCGCAGCTTGGGGTGGAGCTGACTGGTGGAGGAGAACTATGGGGAGGGGGGAGGGGCTTGTCACTCACCTCATAGTTCGAGCCGCTGTGTGACAATGAGACTGTCACAGGTCGGCTCCGTAGATCGGGGGTGAGGGAACACATACCGGCGCTCGCTCACTGCTCGATCATATCCCTGCAGAGAGCCGTGACAGGGGAGGGGCTGGATTCCCCCCTCCGATCCTCCAGCGCTGACTGGCTGATCGGACGGGGGAGGGGGAGGGTACAGCCTCTAGATAGGCGGAGCCAGCTGTCACTCACGCAGCTGGGCGGATCCTGGCATACTTGTCGGGATCCGCTGCGGCGTCTCAGTATACCGCGAGCTGTAGCTCCCTATATACTGAGCCTAGGGTGACGGGAGGACGCTAGTTTGTGTCCTCCCGTTACCCTGAGGAGAACTATGGGGGAAAAGCCCGGACCTCATAGTTCTCCTTTAATAGGACCGAGCGCTGCATGTACTAGGTCCCCCCGGGGGGTTTCCAGGACGATGTCGCTGTGGTGATTTGGTTTATAATGTGATTATTGATTTCTGGTACGAGCCGATTAACAAGCCAAATCTTCTGTATAAATCCGTGTGCATTGTGCGGCCTTTTTATAACGAATCTTTTCATGATCGGGGACCCCCCACTGACAAACATTACCTCAGCCCGGGGGGGGGACCCCCCTGTGCAGAGAACACGGGGGGGGGGCTGTGCGAGAGCAGCCAATCCACAGCCAGCTGACGGCTGACACAGGATTGCCGGTGATCTGCCGCTCTGTGCACAGCCCATCCCCCGTGTGTCCTGCCGCCCATTGCGGGCCCTGTGTGTCATGTGACTTGTTGCCAGGTTCCCATAGGAGGAAAGTCTCCGTGTCATCTTCCTTTGAGGCGTCATTGTCTGAGCACCGGGTCCTGCTGTGTATAAGGGGGGCGGAGAATTCTGCATGAGACCGCTGCCAATAAAACTCTACAACTGTGACTGATGTGACTTGTCCTGCATCGGGGTGATCTCAGCCAAGGGCGGGCACATGAAAGTGGGTCAGAACCCGGAAAGTTAAGAGCTGCCAGGTGTGCCCACAGCTAAAATGGCCGCCGGTGCTCTGTCTCCACCTTCTCCATCGCACTCTGCAGCCAGTGCTGAGCGCGGACTTGCAGCACATCATTCAGTGGTGGCTTCCTAACTCCGCACTCACAGCGACTACACACGCCTCGGCAGTAGGAGGGGGGCGGAGACAAGACCAGTCACCCTGCACAAGGAGAGAGAGCAGCAGTGACCGGTCTTTATTACAGGAAGGGGCGGAGACAAGACCAGTCACCATGCACAAGGAGAGAGAACAGCAGTGACCGGTCTTTATTACAGGAGGGGGCGGAGACAAGACCAGTCCCCCTGCACAAGGAGAGAGAACAGAAGTGACCGGTCTTTATTACAGGAGGGGGCGGAGACAAGACCAGTCACCCTGCACAAGGAGAGAGAGCAGCAGTGACCGGTCTTTATTACAGGAGGGGGCGGAGACAAGACCAGTCACCCTGCACAAGGAGAGAGAGCAGTGACCAGTCTTTATTACAGGAGGGGGCGGAGACAAGACCAGTCACCCTGCACAAGGAGAGAGAGCAGCAGTGACCGGTCTTTATTACAGGAAGTCTCACACTGGATGACAGCTCAGATCTGGAGGGAATGCACAAAGCTCACCTTGAAGCAAAAATAAACCAGAATGATCCTGCCAGTAACACGCTTCCCAGGTGACAACACTCACCTATTACACAGTATAGAGGAAGCCACTGTTGTCACCCTAGAACTGGTCTACAAAGACCTTCTTTTGTCCTTATAACATGGAGGGGAGGGTTGTAACATTGTAACTGATAACAATATCACACAGGAAGTTATCAGCACACAAGGGTTCTGGCAGGATCAACAGTTATCCTGCACTGTATGGAGAAACAGCTTTGTCAGCACTACAGAACACCTCCCTCTCCTTATAACTCTGCAGTATACAGGAAGTTGTCCACACTCTGGATTTCTGTCAGGACAAATATGGATTTTCTGTAGCTGCAAAAAAGTTAATAGCTAAAAAAAGGAAAACTAATACGGGCGCCCCATCCGAGGACTGGATGGGTTACAGTGTCGTCTTCTCCATATACCCGGCCTTCTACGTCACGCAAATATAAATCCATCCCATAATGACATCACAGACTTGAAATAATACAAAGCGGGGAAATCCTCCAAATGTAACTGCAGGAAAAGGAAACAAGTCCCGCCCAGCACCAAGTAGGGAAGCAACGTCCCGCCCAGAGTGGAAGGCAGAACAATCTCGAGGAGGCCCCGCCCAGCTGCATCTCAGGTAACGTGCAGACGCAGTATCACGTGATCTAAGGCAAGCACGGGGACATGCACGCATTGGACGGGGCTATGGACTGAAATGGGCGTGCAGAACGAGAAGGAGGGACCGCGCACGCTCTGGTCACCTGGGTACTGTTGCCCGGGTAGCGGGGGCCGCGTCACACCAACTTCCGGCCCCGAGAATCAGGTGAGACCCGAACAACAAGGGGGAGAGGCCTGTGTGTACCGGTGTCACCCCCTCACCGTATTCTAAATTCTTCCCCATACACCCGTCATATAATGTATATACCCTCCATACACCTCCCAATAGACATCCTCACCCCTCATACACTGTATATATCCTCCATACACCTCCCAATAGACATCCTCACCCCTCCAACACCTCCCAATAGACATCCTCACCCCTCATACACTGTATATATCCTCCATACAACCCCCATATACATCCTCACTCCTCCCAATATACACCCTCACCCTTCATACACCCCCCCAATATACACCCTCACCCTTCATACACCCCCAATAGACATCCTCACCCCTCATACACTGTATATATCCTCCATACATCCTCACACAATGTATATATCCTGCATACACCCCCCAATATACATCCTCACCCCTCATACACCCCCCAATATACATCCTCACCCCTCATACACTGTATATATCCTCCATACATCCTCACACAATGTATATATCCTGCATACACCCCCCAATATACATCCTCACCCCTCATACACTGTATATATCCTCCATACATCCTCACACAATGTATATATCCTGCATACACCCCCCAATATACATCCTCACCCCTCATACACTGTATATATCCTCCATACATCCTCACACAATGTATATATCCTGCATACACCCCCCAATATACATCCTCACCCCTCATACACTGTATATATCCTCCATACATCCTCACACAATGTATATATCCTGCATACACCCCCCAATATACATCCTCACCCCTCATACACTGTATATATCCTCCATACATCCTCACACAATGTATATATCCTGCATACACCCCCCAATATACATCCTCACCCCTCATACACTGTATATATCCTCCATACATCCTCACACAATGTATATATCCTGCATACACCCCCCAATATACATCCTCACCCCTCATACACTGTATATATCCTCCATACATCCTCACACAATGTATATATCCTGCATACACCCCCCAATATACATCCTCACCCCTCATACACTGTATATATCCTCCATACATCCTCACACAATGTATATATCCTGCATACACCCCCCAATATACATCCTCACCCCTCATACACTGTATATATCCTCCATACATCCTCACACAATGTATATATCCTGCATACACCCCCCAATATACATCCTCACCCCTCATACACTGTATATATCCTCCATACATCCTCACACAATGTATATATCCTGCATACACCCCCCAATATACATCCTCACCCCTCATACACTGTATATATCCTCCATACATCCTCACACAATGTATATATCCTGCATACACCCCCCAATATACATCCTCACCCCTCATACACTGTATATATCCTCCATACATCCTCACACAATGTATATATCCTGCATACACCCCCCAATATACATCCTCACCCCTCATACACTGTATATATCCTCCATACATCCTCACACAATGTATATATCCTGCATACACCCCCCAATATACATCCTCACCCCTCATACACTGTATATATCCTCCATACATCCTCACACAATGTATATATCCTGCATACACCCCCCAATATACATCCTCACCCCTCATACACTGTATATATCCTCCATACCACACTAGTGTCATCTGAGTGCTGATTGTTCTGCCAGGACAGGAAGTTGTGTGAAATATCCCCAGTGGGGGCACCAACAATGACAACTTTCTACTCCAAACTGCTGACTGTATTTTTATCACTGTGTTTTCAGTGACAACCTCTCCCCCTATTTCTTCTATGGGTGTCACAAGGACAGGAAGTGATGGTAAAATCTTCTTCATAGCGTCGCAATGAGAGATAACTGCCCCCCCCCCCCCAAATTGTTTTTCTTTTTTTTAAATCATCCTGCAGTCTGTGTATTTGATCACATGATCCCTCCCATGCTGCCATCATCCAACCACAAGAGTCCCTGCAGTCTGTGTATTTGATCACATGATCCCTCCCATGCTGCCATCATCCAACCACAAGAGTCCCTGCAGTCTGTGTATTTGATCACATGATCCCTCCCATGCTGCCATCATCCAATCACAGGAGTCCCTGCAGTCTGTGCATGTGATCACATGATCCCTCCCTTGCTGCCATCATCCAATCACATGATCCCCTGCAGTGTGTATGATGCTGACGCTTTCTCTCTCTGGTGCTGCGGATTGGAGGGGAGGAATGGCGGCTCACCAGGAGGTGACGATGTACGATGATGAAGTCAGGTAACGTCTCATGTACAGGACCGCCCCTCCCCCCGTGTGTTGTATCCAGCCTGTTAGTCTCACTTCTCTTATACACAAAATCATGGAGACGTCCTCACAGGCTAAAGAGGAACTTTGCTGAGATTACATGTAATCAGACCACGGCGACCCTTATAGACTCCACCCCTCCCCCCCCCAACACTGATATGTCACAGAATTTAAAATAAGTAAATGACAATCTGCGTATCCTCCT